GAAAATACTTTCTCTTTGTCTTTCTTGAGTACATGATTCTGATCTGTCCTAAGCATCCATCAGCCCCATGACAGGTAAGAATTCTGTAGAAGGAATTCTAACAAAGCAAAAAGAGCATTCACTATTTAGTTGCTGATTCAAAGTAGCATTTTCAACAAGATAGTAGCCTCACAGGCCAAGCTATTGTCTTAAAATGCTCTAAATTCCTTTATCTCTCAGTTTTAGCACATCAAGAACCATGCCTAGAGGACTCAGCTCATAGAAAAGAAATAGTCTTTAGGTCTGTGCTGTGGGCCAGGGAGGCTTGCTGGTCTGTGGTTGATGGACTATTTGACCTAGGAAAATAAAAAGGAAAGTGTACCCCTCCTGGCCCAGGGGACTTGGGGATGAAGGAGAAGAGACAGGTAGAAGGGTCAGGGAAACAGAGATGCATCTGGGAAACCCCCTGTGGCCCTTTGCCTGGGTATCTTTCCAGGGCTTTGGAGGGAGCCAAACAGCCTACCTCTGACCACTACCCTAGGGTCAATACCCCTGTGCTTACTCTGGAAGGAAGTGGAAGTTTTCCTGAGAAGAAGTAACTGAGAAGAGACATAGGACCCGTGGAAGCTTCCCAAAGCCTTCCACCCACTAGATCTCAGTACCCTTATCTCCCCAAGGCCATGAGGTCACAGCAATCCCCCCTTCCCATTTACTCAGTGAGAAGAGCAGAGGAGATGGAGACTTTATGAGAAACTGAGCATTTTTATGCAAAAGCGACCAAGAATTCTCTAGAGGACTATTTATGACATCAGACTAAGTTGTAACCCAGAACTTACTAAAATAAAGTTGTCTTTCTCCCATCACCCAGGGGTTGGGGCTCATAAGGAAGACAACAGCAGTTAAAAACAGAACCAGTGTACATCCGGGGAACTGTTAGCTTGCCCATGCATCTGTGCCCTGAAAAAGTCCAAGACTCAATGTCTTTATCTGTTAAATGGATATAAATAATAATTCCCATCTCAGTAACTTCACTGTGTACTTAAATGATAGGTTGTGTAAACATCCCCAGCCTACTTGAGAAATTCAGTTAGTATATTTCTTGTTGGTGCTGGATCTGAGCATGTGAGAGACACAGTGGGACGGAAGGTCCTTGGCCTGGGGCCAGCTCCCCATAGCCACAATTGTCTTCTCCATGGGAGAGTTGAAGAGATGCCTGTCCAGGCTGCAGCTGGTGGTCGGAGGTGGCCCCCTGGTTCTTACCTCTCTCTCTCTGCAAGTTCACGTGCCAGAGAGAAAACACACGTGAGGAGCTGAGGTGCGGGACCCTGGGCCCACAGAGCTGCTCCTGTCCTTCCAAAGAGCGCCTTTGACATCTGTTCCGCTCTGTGTGAATTCTGAGCCCCAGAGAGTCTGCGTGGCTGCTTGCTGAGACCCCTGCTGCACAAAGAATGCCAGCAAAGCAGGGCTGAGCCGTGCTTGCAAGAGCTTGTTGGAGGCTGAGCCAGAGTCTTGGCTCTCTGGTCCTCATTCAGCCTCCATGCCCTGGTAAGAGTATATTATTTTCTTAGCTCAAATTGCCGTTTCCAAGTCATTATTTCTCTACGATGAGAAAACAATATTGGTTCTTATGTAATATCAGCCTCAATGAATCTGGAAGTGATCACGGAATGGGTGGATTTTTTTTCCTCCTTAAAAAGGAGAAAAATAAATTTGAGATTGTTTGCATATGGCTGAGAATATTTATGAACTATTCCCCTTGTTTCCTCATCACATATTTTACCCGGTGCATTTGCGTGTGGTACAGAATAAATCTTCACGGGAAGGGCGGGTGGAGAGAGGGGCAGGAAGCAGTTAAAGGACAGAGGGAGCCGTCAAGGGCCTGGGGCGTTGCTGCTCCCGGCTCTTAGGGTCCCCTGGCCTCAGGCTTGCTGGGATCTGAGGGTTACCCTAACCTGCTGCTCAGAGGAAATCTTACAGAGGGAAGGTTTCAAATGTGAAAACTAAGGGGATTAACATCTCCTTGTCCCTCTGGTTTCTTTCACAACCTCCTCACTCTTACCAGAGCAGAAAGTTCAACAATAGTGATTTCGTGACCTGGGTGCTGTCAGCCAAAAGAGATAATTAAATTCTATGCATGCCAGATCAAACCAGGGTCAGAGGAAGAAGTTGGCAGGTAGGAAGGAAAAGAACTGGCAGAGGACGTGTTGGTGCTGGCATCTGTTAGTCGAGAAGAATGGCCGTGTGTTAGCACAGACGTGTTGTGTCTGTCCTCTCCCCCCAACCACCCCCCCCACCACGGCCATGTCTCTCACACAGCGCGTCACCAAGAATGATCCAGACAGAGCATAAGGGACAGGCTGGCTGGACGTTACATCAGGATGGGAGGCAAGGCTCTGGGCTGTTGATTATCCTCTCTGGAGACTGGGCCTCAGAACTGGAGCATCTGAGAACCATTCAATGCTGCCCCGCGGGTTTTTGAGGAATATAACTGATGGAGAGTATGGGGTCAGGGACAGAGAGCAGACAGCTGTCACATTTGGTCCTGCAGTAGCAAAAGCAATCATAAAGACGTCTTAATATGGGGCAGGCGTGGTAGGAGGTACTTTTCCCTGCATAATCTGAATCAGGCCTCACCATGGCCTCAGGAAGATTAGGATCTTCATCTCACAGTTGAGATGAGAAAACTGAAACCCAGTGACATTGAGGAGCTTGCCCAAGGTCACACTTCGTTGTAAGTTCCAGGATCAGGGACGTTCCCAAGATCTGTGAGGTCTGAAGCCAATAGAATAAATATAAATAGGGAATTTAAAAAAATCTAGTTCAAGGCTTTGGAAGGGGCCCATGGGATGAAGGAAACAAAGCTCAGACTTGAGCGGTGTCACAACAAATCCATCCTGGGCAGGGTTGAAATTTAAGCACACGCTTTGCTCCAGGCCGTGCAGCCCCTTCCCTGCTGCCTCTCCTCCTCTTCTCTCTCTACCAACTACTTGCTTCACATTCCTGATCAAAAATGCACAGACTCCAGCAATGACGGTGATACACAGAGGACATCCTCAGCACACACCCCCTTGGTATGTCACATGGATGTCATAGCTACGGTGTACGGTGACAACCATGCCCACTGCCACACTTTATCCTTGCACCTCAAGAGCTCAAGGAGACACAGTTGAGATGTATCCAGAACTGTTCTCCCAAGGAACTCCAGTTGCTCTTCTAGGCCTCTTACCAAATGTCACGATCGTTCCCGCACTGGGGGATTTGGGCACAGACTCACGCAATGGCCTGCTCGGGTCTCCAGCGGGCATTTTGTAATTACAAGCAGCAATATTTCATTTTCCTTCATCATCCGTCTCGTCCCTTGGATTGATATCCGTTGGTCTGATTTCAACAGGCACTCTATTTGATTTTTCCTTTCTCCATTATAATCAAGATTTTGTCATAAGCGCCATAACTGGAAGGGGTGGAGGGATTGAAGAAAGCAAAGAAACCCAATATAGATCACAAGCGCTTTGGTGGGGGTGGGAGTGGGGAGCATAATAACCATTGTCCCGCACCCGCCTCTACCATTGTTCTTGAGGCTTGCGATCCCGTCCTAGTCTAGACAATTACTAAGGAGAATACAAGCATTTTTCCCAGCCCTGTTCCCTCTCTTCTCCCAAACGGGAAACTCAAAGCAGATGATGAAGTACAAGTTCAAATGCCACACCAGGGAGAAGGAAGTATTGAGAAACTACGTCCAACCTCCAGCCTGTTTTCAAACATTCCAGTAAGTGTTCAATTGATTTATCTTGGGCTGGTGTTGTTTCATTGTCTCAAACAAAGGCCGTCTATGAAAAGACCAACTTGGGTTATGGGAGGAGGCTAACAGAAGGCACATTTGGGAAAAAGTAAATAAGAGTCCCATCCTTTGGGCTTTTCCCGCAGGGGCAGCATCCCTCTTTCATCTGCCAGAATTAACATCAGGACTGATTCCTATTACCTCCACATCATACTCTACACCAGAGTCTGGGGAAAAGAAAAAAAAAAAACAAACCCAGCCTTGGGGATGGGGTGATGATACAGGTGCAGTGGCCGGGGACCCGACCTGCCATCTCCTCCATTGGTGTCCTTGGAGCTCGGGTGGTCAGGGTTCTGTGTCTGGAATTGACTGTGAGATTTTCGACAGATTGGTTCCAAGTGACGGACTGGTTCTACTCTTGCATCTAAATGAATTATGGATGGGAAATTATTGGGGCAAGACTGTAAGTCTTCTGCCACATTGTCATCCTTTGGATGTGCATTCTCTGAACTATGTCCATGACTGGTTTCCATGCATCTGTGTCGGTACATTCATGGTGGAGCTCTCTGCCTGGTGGGCCAGCCCTTCCATTTTGGACATCTCTGATGTTTAGAACAACCTTCTTCAGATTACACGAAGTATTACCCTTCTGGTATCCATTGGCCCTGTAAGGGCAACACGAAGCAGGGAGGCTTACTTTGCTATGTTGTATCTTCCTGGAAGCCTTGTCCCCTCCCCTTCTTATGCTGGTCGGTTGGTGCTTCCATAGTTAATGCTCCCACAAAGTCTGGCACTTATCTCTGTCCTAGGATTTCTAAGCAATTATTTACTAAGTGAATAGCCCTTTCTTTCTGCATTATTATGGGGGTTAATTGTGGAATATTGGCAAAATATCGAGAAGCAAAATAGAAAACGAAAATTGACTCTTATTGTATCTATTGGAGATAAGCACTCTAAAAACTTTGCTATGTATCCTAATGGTTGCATTTCTATATTTATGGTTTTTTTATTTTAAAGGATTAGTTAGTGTTTACTGTTTGGTTAAGGTTTGCCTTTTCCAGACCACTTGACACTCTTCTGCTGCATTGTATTAGTGGCTTGCAGGTGTTCTACAGTGTGTGGGAACTGGCTGTGTGATGGGGGGCACAGAATTCAAGATAGGCTCCTTTACTCTGAAGACCACTAGTTGTTTCCAGCGGCAGGAAGGTTGACTGAGGAGTCTTCTTCTGCTGTTTCATGCCAGCCCTTGAGAGAGGCCTGACCAAGGCGCTGAAGAAACTGGACGATTACCTGAACAACCCTCTCCCAGAGGAGATCGACGCCAACACTTGCGGAGACGAAGACAAGAGGTCCCGACGCAAATTCCTAGATGGAGACGAGCTGACCCTGGCCGACTGCAATCTGTTGCCCAAACTCCATGTGGTCAAGGTAAGACGGCTCTGTCTGCAGGTTGCTTGCCATATCCAACTCCATCAGAGGTCCACATCACCTGCATGGATGAGTCAAGGACAGTGCCACCTGCTGGTCCAGAGCCTGGGCTCTGAAGTCACAGGAATAGGAATCCAAAGTCAGCCTTCACTGCTTGCTGGCTGTATAGACTCTCCCGGCTTCCATAAAATAGGCATGTATTACTTACTTCTTAGTCTTAGTTTTACTTCTTGGCTGGGAGAAGAAATACGGTATGACAGTGCCTGGCATATTATAAAGGCTCAATACATAGTAGTTGCTATTGTCGTAGCCCGTGTGGTTACACATACATTTATATGTGTATGCATATGTTTATAGATAGATATATAGAGCGCCTCTTCCTTGCCTCTGCCTCAAAGCTTTCCACTGGCCATACCCCCACATTTCTGTGAGGTTGCTTCATATGCAAGCCTTCTCATTCCCTCTAGTAACTCCCTAGGGCAGGCGTGTATCCTCTTCCTCATCTATCAGTTGAAGAGGTGGAGGCTGCAAGAAAGTGACGTCATTTTCTTGCCATGGTTGTCCTCCCTGATCAATGTTGACATGCAATGTAATCCTGTCCTACAAGAATTCTAGGATCTGAGAGTTGGAAAGAAGGGAATTCCAAGGTCTACCTAAACTGTCCCCCACCCGCACTGGACCACTTTCTGCATGTCTGTGACAGATTTCCATGTAGCTGTCGCTGCACGCTCCCTGCCGAGCGAGTCAGCCCTATCATTTTGGATGACTCTGATCGTTAAAACATCCTTCCTTTTTTTTTTTTTTTTTAAAGGAGGTGGCAAGGAGAGGGGAGGGGAGAGATAGAATCTCAAGCAGGCTCCATGCCCAGTGTGCAGCCTGATGTAGGGCTCCGTCTTACAAACTGTAGGTCATGACATGAGCCGAAATCAAGAGTCAGATGCTTAACCGACTGAGCCACCCAGACGCCTCTAAAAACATCCTTTCTTATATTGAGCCAAACAGCTTCCCTTCTTCCCTTTGTTCTCTGGAGCAGCACAGAACAGGGCTGCTCTGTTTCACCCCATTCAAAGACAACAGTCGTGCCCTGATGTTCATTCTCTAAACTATTGCTTCTTCTTACATCCTTTCCTGGCCCTCACCAGCCTAGAGAAACACACAGTGGGACCATATCACTAGACTGTTCTAGTATATACTTTTATACACACTTCTATGTCTCAGTCAGACATATGACTGATTACATTATATCATATAATATAGAGACCGCAAGCTCTGTGGAGACAGTGGCTTCTCCAAGCACGATGGTGGGCACAAGGTAGCCCTTTCATAAATATTCATTGATTGACCATTCAAGCACCTCACCTGTGTCTTTATCATACCATTTTCCTTCTGCCCTTCCCTAAGAAGAATCAGATTCAATCATTCATCAGCTGGATATCTGCCTATCGTTTTCCTGCTGAAGTCCTGAGCTAGAAATGTGGGCTTCCCTCTAATCAGAGCACAACCAGCTTGAATTGAAATCTGACCTGTGCAAGCCCCAGTGTTCCCGCAGGACTTGGTCGGAGCTGAAGATTGGGTGGGAATCACTCGGGCCATTACTGATGGGCTGGGAAAATGCAGTCTGTTAATATGAAGACACTTTGGGTCTGGGGCCAAGTCAATGGTTACTTGTAAGTCCAGCCAAGCTCCACGTTTCTGAAGTTCTTAATGACTGCATGCCCCACCACACCCCCGGAAACATCTTTTATTCTCTTTTCCTGAGGAACGAGTGGCACCATCAGGGATGGTATAATTCTAGTTCAGTCACAGTGTGTCAGTGTGACGTATTGGAAAGATCCCCATTCAGAAAGTCACGAGACCCACGTCCTGGCTGGGTATCTGCCACCCACCAACAGCATGAGCTGGGGCAAGCCACTGACTCTTTCTGGAATTCATTTTTCTCATGCTTAAATGAAGAGACATGAAGTATAGTCCTTCTAGCTTCTTTTTTCTCTCTTCCTTTCCTCCTTCTTTCTTCTGTCTTACTTAAACTTATACTGACTACCCACTCAAGAATTTCCTGTCGAATAAGGTAAACAAATGGACCCCCCAAGGCCCTGTGCTTCATCCCCTGACTCCTCCAGTCCCCCCCCCCCAGCCCTAAACAACGACGCTCCGCCCGTGTCCTTGGATGGAGTTCAGTGAGTTCCTCACTTGGAGGAACTGGGGATCAGAGGGAGGATGGCCTGCGAGGGGACAAAGGCCGGGCCTCGCCTTCTGTCTCCTTGGATTTCTGCTGATCCAACTTATCAGATCCCAGAGACCTGGCAAACCCCCGTCCTGCAGAAAGAGTGAAAGGGGAGCCAAGTCAGGCCTCCAGTTTGGCTCCTGAGGCCAAAACCTAATCTGGGCTGTGGGAGCTAACTGTTTTCATATGAAAGAGCAAATTCAGACCATGAACATGGACGTTCCTGTGAACGTCAGAGCCCCTGTGCTCATTCTTGCCCGCCCTCCCTCTCGCACTCTCGCGCTCTCTGCCTCTCTTGCCTGGCTCTCATTCAGGTTCATCTTCATTCTCCCTGAGAGCCTGATTTGAACTCTCACTGTCTGGCTCCCTTCTAGTCCTCATCCCCTCAAAGCAAGCCAACATGTGAGGAAAGAGAGCCAAGAGACGTGGCCAAGGCTCAGGGCGTGCAGATCCGGGCAGGGAGGGGAATGGCAGGCCTTCTGGAGGGGCCCCTGGGACCTGTGCCTAGCACAGGGACCCGCTTTAGCCCCTGAAGCAAACAGCAAAGGAGACATAAGCACAAGTATATACCCATACATCGCCCTTCTGCTGTTTTAAATCTCACAGTGCATCCTTTAAAGAGGAAAACAAATCCCAGCATGGAGAGACTTGAGGCCACTCCATCTGTCCGTTTGTGACCCGCCGCTCCTGCATGGTCTTGCTCCTTAGCCATGACAGCTTCTTCTCAAAGGCTCTTGGACAAACCCAAGGGACCCTCATCCTGCAGTGAACAGTGGGAGGGGTCAAGGAGGACTGGCAATGGGTGTTGTCTCCAGCATTTGCTCATGGCCAGTGCTCTGCCAGAGACTCAGATGCCATCCCCTTTGCTTCTTAGTCACACCTAAGCTGGACAACGTTGTGAGGATGGCTTTTTGGTGACCAGCCCGAACTAGTTCTCTTAACAGAGAGAATTTAATAGAAGCAGTAAGTACTGAAGAACTAGGAAGGCAAAATATACCACAAAGTTCTAATTGAGTGAGGCGGCTGCGACCGTAGGGCAGGGGAGGCAAACGGAAGAGATCGGAATGATCTAAACGTGGAAACTTCGATGAGGGGCCCTTGCCAAGTCAACCTTGGACCTCTGAGGTGGGGCATGCTGAGCTGCTGCTGGGGGCTAATTTGAGGGGATGACCCCCATCCCCTGCTGTGGGGTCACTGTTGTGTGCTGGCCTCTCTCAGCTAGGGTGAGGACACTGGTTCCACTAGTGGTGGCAGAAGGAGAAAACTGGACTCAGCTGTTGCTACTGAGGCAAAGGAGAGTCTGATGGGAACAGGATGGCCAGGACAGAAAGGGGCGGCCCTTCTCCCTCCTCCAGTTTTGCAGACTCTCTTTCTCTCTCTAGCGCCCCCTCTTGGCAGTGCCTAATGGGAAGTCCCTGGCTGAACAGCTGTGATTTGCAGATTCCCCGCCCATGTGTCCCAGCGTCCCAAAGAAACAGACACGAGGGTGGATTGGAGATAAGCAACGACCGCTGGATAAGCGGCGCACACAAGGGATTCCGAGTACAGCCCTACCTTTCTCATTGGTACAGGGCTGGGCGGCCACGTAGAGAGAGAGAGAGGAAGGACTGTCATGGGAGCATCAGGCCCAGCAGAAGGTGTAGAGGCAATGATATTGTAATATAATGTAATGATATTGATATTGTAATAGCGTCCTTTGGTGACAGATGGGAGCCACACGGCTGATGAGCACAGCCGAGCATATAGACTTGTCCAATCACTATGTGTGCACCTGAAACTGACGTGACATTAGGTGTCAACTATCCCCAAATAAAACGAGGAAAGCAAGGACTGTAATAAACATTAGTGATTACTCAAAAGATACCGGTTGAATTAATTCATTTCCTGTGTCATCTTGTGGAACCCATGTAGGCACTTGGCAGGTTCAGTCTGCTTGTTGTTAAGGATCTTCAGGCTCTAAAATTAGGTGAGTTTCTTACATTTGACTCTAGATGCACTTTGATTTAGGACACCTGAAGATAGTAAAGATGCAATACAGCCGTTTATTGAATCCTTACTTATCTAACTTCTCTTTGCCTTACTTTCCTCATCTCTATAATGGGAATACAATACCCTCTTCCTTATGGAGTTATTTGGAAGTTTAAGAGGATTGCACAGTGCTCAGAACAGCCTGGAGCAGAGCACATAGTAAATCAATGCTTGTTAGTGTCACTACTCTTATAAACAGTGCTACTGAGGGGCGCCTGGGTGGCTCAGTCAGTTAAGCATCTGCCTTCAGCTCATGTCATGATCCCAGGGTCCTGGGATGGAGTCCTGCATTGTCACTGGGGTTCCCTACTCAGCGGGGAGCCTGCTTTTCCCCCCTCCACCCCCCTCCCCTGGCTGTTCTCTCTCTCTTGCTCGCTCTTTTTCTCTCTCACTCAAGTAAATAAAATAGTAAAAAAAAAATTTACAAAAGCCTTAGTGTTGAGCAGGCAGTATAGAAATGAAGAAGCTGAGTTTCTGCCCTTATACTGCTCACAAACTAGGGAAGAGAGAGAGAAAGGATACTAAAACAGTAATTGCAATTCAGAATAGAATAGAGCTGACTATTGGGACAGAATTTCCAAACTGATGCAGGAGAATGGAGGGGGAAAATGCATGCTCCTTGGGAATGTGGTCAAACCGATGAGGCTGAGCTTTTCACACAATAGGGTCATCATTGTGTTCACTCAGCACAGCTTTCCAGGGAACCCTGACCATCACTGGCACCAAAATGAAGATGAAAGCCCAGCGCAGCTGAACTCCAGGGTTCTCTGAATGGGAGGATCCCAGGGCCAGCAGTCTGAAGACCTCTCTAAAAAGAAAATAAGGAAAGGAGGCAGAAGTCAGGGACACCTGTGTGGCTCAGTTGGTTAAGCCATGGCCTTTGGTTCGGGGCATGATCCCAGGGTCCTGGGATCGAGCCCCACATCGGGCTCCTCGCTCAGCAGGGAGCCTGCTTCTCTCTCTGCCTCTGCCTGACACTCTTCCTTCTTGTGCTCCCTTTCTCTTTCTGATAAATAAATAAAATCTTAAAAAAAAAAAAAAGTCAGAAGTCAGTGCCTTAGGAGAGAGATTACTCTTTGCTATTCCCACCCCTGCCCCTAGAGGCCTAGAAGCAAGAGGAGCTGATGTGCAGACCCCAATGTACAGTTACAATAAAGGAGCCCCGTTAAAAAGTACTCAGAATTTCCAGCCAGTGACAGCAGAGCCTGGAACCAAACATAAGCCCTTCTGAGTTTGAGGCCCCATGTAAAGACAAAGGTCACCCTCTCTGCATGCAAATGGGCAAAAGATGGGTCTCAGGGAATTATAATAGGAGATAATGTTTCTTGAGCACTCAGGATGAGCCAGCCATCCCTCTAAGCATTTTGTGTGTATTAATTTTATGTGTATTAATCTGTTCCTCCAAGGTAGGTCTTATTATGACCTTCATTTTAGAGATAAAGAAATTGGGGCTCAAGGAGGCTAAGTAGCTAGTCCAAGGTCACACAGCTGCTAAGTGGTGGAGTAAAATGGCAGATTCAGTCCGTGGGGCTCCAGAGCCCATGTTCTTAACTGCTATGCTACTGTTTCAGCACAAACAGCACCTCCCCAGAACGCCCAGCCATAGCCCCCATGTGTGCAAACTATGAAGAGAAGTCACGATTTGTTCACTCCCGCAGCGTACATGGAACCTGCATGTACATTCCAACATCTAACTTCCTTTTTATGCTTTTTGTTCTCCCCTATGAATAAGGGTGCTTAGGTAAAAAAAAGTGGATGAGGAGATAAAATTTATAATTCTATCAGTCAGCCATAACCACTGGTAACATATTGGTATAGATACTTCTAGTCTCTGCGCATATTTCTCCAAATGCATTATACTGCACTTTAAAAAAATTTATTTATTACTTTTTTGCACTGCACTTGAAACTTAGCAATCTTTTTTTTTAAATGATTTTCCTTATTTATTTGAGATAGAATTTGATAGATTTATTTGAGCAGAGGGCGGAGGATGACTCCCGACTGAGCAGGGACCCCAATGGGCCGCTGGATCCCAGGACCCTGGGACCATGACCTGAGCCGAAGGCAGATGCTTAACCCACTGAGCCACCCAGGCATCCACTTAATGATCTAAAAGAGTCTTCCAGATGGCTGAAACTTCCTTTGCAGCATCATTTCTAAAGGCTCTCCAGCACGGCATTGTATTTACCTATGATAATGCATTAATTCATGTACCTATTGCTGGACATTTCTTTTTTCTGTCATTTTCTCCACTCTTGCATTTTTTACTCTTGATCCCATGATCACAGATAGGTAGCTAATCTTTCCGATGATTTCCCAAGGCAAGTCCCTCAAACAAGAATGAGTAGGTCAAAGGGAAAATTATATTTACTTATGAAATAAATAAGATTAGAGAAGATGGAAAGAAGGCAGTTCCGCCTGCCACCTTGCACGATACACATTTTGCTTCGGGGTGGTGGGGCGTGATGCACGCAGGGTCTCTACCCCCCACTCCCACCCCCCGCCCCCCAACATGCACACCCGGTCCCACCACTAACTCCTTCTCCCGGGTTTGTCTCCTGCCTTCACGCCATCTCGGTCCTGCTGTCTGTATTGTAGATTGTGGCCAAGAAGTACCGAAACTATGACTTCCCGGCCGAGATGACGGGCCTGTGGCGGTACCTGAAGAACGCCTATGCGCGGGATGAGTTCACCAACACCTGCGCTGCTGACCAGGAGATCGAGTCTGCCTATGCCGACGTCGCCAAGCGCCTCAGCCGGTCCTGAGCTCGGCCGCCTCGCCCTGCCACTGGTAGCACAAGGACTCTGCTTCTCCCAAACCAACTCCAGCCTCACTGACTCCCCTTCCGCATTGCCTCGGGAAACATCGTTTGGTCGCCGGTCACCTCTTGCTGGCCCCATGGACTCTAGCCAGCTGTCTCTTAGGAAGGTCCTAGCCGACCCCATCTGATCCCACCAGCATCTGCAGGCAGCAGTGATAGACACCCTCAAGCTCTCAGCCTTTGGGCCTGGTCCGGCTTTCAGTGTGTTTGGGGTCAGCCCTGGAGAACCTGCCTAGGGGACTGTCCCTGGCCCCTCTGCCAATACCAGATTCGCTGCTTGGCTGCGGTAGCAACATGCAACCCTGTGTCTCCTTCCCCCTCCTTGTTGGTAACTCCTTGGCCAAGGACAGATGCCATCAAAGATCTTACTAGAAAGAGAGCCACCCCGTTTAGGGGAGACAGAGAGAGTGAAAGGAGGACAGGCAGGCTGTGGATTGGGCGGCTGGCACACACACCTTCAGTCCCTCTCTGCTTTCTGATGCTCCGGTCACACAGGGCACTGAGGACCAGACTGTAACACCATTTCAGACTGTCTCTGGAGGCTGCAGGGTGAGAAGGTCATGATGCTCTCATGTATCTGGGGGACACCCACCTCTGTGCTATGCTGTCCAGGCCTTTTGAGAAAGCGAAGTTGGCATGCAGTCGCAAACCAGGGTGTCTGGGAAGGAGAGGGGGAACAGTGTCGATGCCAAAAGGCCCACGGGGTCTACTAGCCATGGGTTTGCTTGCTTAGCGGTAGTTTTGTTGGAGGTGACATGCCCAGGTTTGACAGATCCATGAGTGAATTTCATTCTGTGAGAAAGCAGATGGAAGGTGGGGGGCAGGGGGCGGGGGGCGGGTGAAGATAGAGAAGTTCTTTATGAGGCTCAAGGTTCCCTGGGAATCTTTCACACAGGTCTTTCTCATGATCTCACAAAGTCTTGAACTGCTGATGTCATGTCACTACCAACCAAGAATTGGTCAAAACTGACTTTCCAGTCTCTTCAAGTGGTTCCCAAATGTGGGTCTGCCAGCCCGGTGGGGCTCCTGGCTGAGCTGGCTACAGCCTCTGGTGGGTAAGAGATGGCATGATCATGGAACACCTTAGGAAGAAAGTCCATGGGCCTTTCTGACTGGGAAACCATGTGGCTTGAACTTGAAGAAAAGTAGATGCCCCTGCCATCTGACTCACCCGCCAGATGAAAAAGGAACTTTTTTTAGCTAATATTTCTCTCCTCAGTTGCTTTCCTTCAGTTTTACCTCCTTCAAAGCTCATCTGGCTTGAGCCTAGGGAACCTGTGCAGAGGGAACTAAGAAAAATGAGTTAATCATCAGCCCTCTGTCCTAGTGGTGGCCTGTGAGAACAACCAGACATCATAGACCGTCACCTTCAGCAGCTCTCCCATCCGGGCTGCCCGCGGGTAGAGTGAGGTTCCCGAGTGCCAAAAAGTCCTGGGACGTGGCTTGTTGCTCAGGAATGTCAGGCAACAACGGTCCTTTCCATAGAAACATTGGCACATCGTTGGCCCAGCCACCCCCAGACAGAACTTTGTCTCCAGGGATCTCTGAAGAGATCACGTGGCCGTGATCTTAGCAGAGGGGAGGAAGCAGGAGCCCCTTGAGCCCAGTGAGGAAGAGGAAATTTCTCAGTAGGATATTTTATTAGCCTGAGAGCTTTGCAAGGGCAAGAGGCATTGATTCATTCCTTCCCCTAAAGAAACCTTCCCAGGGATTCCCTGGGAACGGAGTCCCTAGACATGTTTTAAAAGGAACATGGTGAGGAAACAGTTCTTTTTACTGTAGGGAAAAGCCCCAAACTGGCCTCTTGGGAGATGAAGTCTGGAATGATCCCAGAGGACTTTTAATTAGTGTAAATCCTGTTGTCCTCAGAAACCCTGACCTGACTTTAGCAACACAGTCACAGTGACCTAAGAGGCAATTTACTTTCCAGAGACCCGCGGTGGTGCTGTTCTAGAAGCACAGCAGTGTAGCAAAGGCAGCGGGACAGAAAACAGGCTCCCAGATGGCACAACTCCCGGCTAGGGGTTGTCTGATACTAATGACTGATTTGAGAGTCAGAATTCAGCCATTGGCTGGTCTTAAAACAAAGTCTTTAAAAACAAAGAAGCCAAACTGAATCAATATTGTTGTTTCTAGATGTTCCTTCTGTGGTTTACTTAGTTTCTCATAAATAACGATATTAAGGCACCAGTGGGGGGAGGCAGTTAAATGATCAGTTATAACCACGGAAAACAGGGGAAAGAGTTAGAGATGGAAAGCACTTCTGAGTACTTAATTCAAGAATATCTTCTGATTTCAATTTAAGATTATGACATAATACAACCGACTCTTGACTGAAAGCTTTAATGTCTTATGACCAGATTTAGCAGAATATTTAAAATAACAATAATATTACCTTCTGATTATCTTTCCCAAAAGAGATTTTCTTCTCTAGATCCTTCAGCTTCCCTGGGCTTTGGCCACAACCCTGTCACATATACAGCAAATCATCTTCAGGCCTCAGTATGATGAGGTCCTTAGGTGACTCCAGAACCTGCTCAGAGAGTCCTGAAGGTTTGGTCTTCATCCAGAGTAACCCTATCTTTGGTCTTGAATGAGTGTTGATCCCTCAGAAAGCATTTCAGTGGCATTAGAAAGGGTTTGGGTTGAGATCTTATTTTATTTTGGTTTTATTTTTCTCCTTTGACTTTCATGTCACTATTTTATTTTATTTTTGTGGAATAGCATAGCGGGAGGCAAAGGCAGAAAGAAGAATCAAACTCAGAATGACTGTGTTGAATTTACCCATCTATCAGATTGGGCTACCTCTCAGGTTGGCCCTGAGAAGGTATTGGGTAAGATTTTAATAACCTTATATGATGAGCTGGATAATAAAAGCTTGAGTGTTCTAGAGCATGGTCCTTGTATTGTGTGTCTTTATCTCCCAATGATGGAAGTCAAATGCCTGACAGCTCAGAATCATAGGCAACGAACCCCTAAAAACCCACTTTTATTTAGCCCCACAATCTCAGACTGATTTCAGCTTCCCAGAAAATGCCAGTCTCTAGTGTTCACATCTCCTGCCAGTGGCACCAGCAAGGATCTTGGTCTTTTCATTAGAAAAAGCCTTCTCCAAGAGTGAAGTTTTCTCAGCTGCATTTTCCAGCACGTGTCAATGAAATGGCAGAAGTTCTTCACAGCACCCATGACTACTGGTCATTCTGTACAAAGACAACACCAAGCATCTTCGCATTGTTGCAGGATGGATCGAGCCTGGAATTGACCCTGAAGATCTCAGAATCCCAGGAATCAGTAAGGCTTAGACAAATAGAATTAAAGTTGGGGTGGGGGCGGAGAGTCAGAAAGGTACAGATCCATCTCTTAAGAGTTTTCCATTGTGAGAAACCAGTGAAGAGTCTGTGTCTAAAATTAAATCGGTCTAGAGGCAGCAGGAATCCAGTAGTTACTTCTGTGACCCTCTGCTAATCCTTGTGGCCAGAAGCTATTTAAGTAGCAGAGTGAGTCAAGATGCCGTTATCTCTCTCTCTCCTTGGAAAGATGAAGTATCACCTCATTATTAAACTGAAGCTCAAAGATTCCTAAGGGATCACTTCCTTATTTTTTCACATGCCATTAAAAAGAATCGTGAGCGTTGGAGAGAGAAGTGTGCGTGTGAAGCATCCTGGTTCTAAAGTTAGGAGGACAGACATTGTCATGTCTTTGGCCTTGGAGCCCTTTCTGCAAACAAGACCCATTGTCTTCTATCCACTGCTTTTTAGCATTCAAACCAAGTAACGTGTGTCCCCTTCATGAATGCATTTTCCTTTACCTTTGCCAATATTCTTCTCCTGGCTTAGTTTCAGGATGCTTTCTTTCCATCAGGAGGTATGATCAAAAGTGTGCCTCATTTTATTTAATGTTACTTGCAGCATTAGATCCAATGCTCCCCTCACCAACCAAAAATAAAATGAAACATTGCCTCATTATAGGGTTTGGGCTAATCTGTGTTTCTATAAAAGCAATCTGTTTTTCTTTTAAAACATAGTTTAAAGAATCCAATTATCTAATATATATCCAATATTTTATGTATAGTTAGAGATTTCACAATAATGATTGTGCATACACTTAAAAAGCTGATGTTTGAAATTTGTCTTACTTTCCAGACCTCGTGTTTGTCCCATTCTAAAAGCTGGGGGTTAACTGATTTAGCAGAAGATGCCTAGCTTTCTATAAAAGAACAAACATTACATTTTCTAAAGACACTCCAAATGATGGCTACTTGATGTTCTCAAGACCTTTAACTGTGGTGACAAAAATAGCAGGACTTGCTTTCAAGCCTTAATAAATTTAAGTTGCCTTTTGATGAAGATACTGCTGAATGTTCTCTTCATGAATCTGAACGAGTTATAAATTTGTTTTCCAGTCTTGATTGGTATTGACTGATTCAAATAAAGTTGGTTTATTTTCGAATATTACAAAGGCAATCATCAGACTGCTTATTCGAGGTGTGGATTTCCTATGCTATTTAAATGACAAGTATGAACTACCTCCCCTCCCAATAAAAGTTATTGTTTTCCCACTATAAAAGAAAATATGTTCATTATTCTTAAAAATCAGAAGCAAAGAAAAAGAAAAAGAGGAAGAAGAAAAGGAAAAACAAGAAGCTTGTGACCCAGTCATCCAAAAATCCATTTTTATTTTAGCAGGGCTAAATTCTATTATAGAACATGGGCTGGGTTAAAAAAAAAATAGACTGATGTTCATTCAAGGTTCTCACTTCAATTTCCTATCTGTATCATTATACCCGGGGTAAGCCAATAGTGACACTTCAGGTATGATTTAAGGCGTACTTTAAAATACTAGTCTACCTGCACCCAAAACTCCCTCTTTGCGGACAGTGGCCTGGTCCTATCAGTGTTCCTGGCCGAAATTCCCACGCCTAGAACATCACTGACTCTAGAATAAGGTCTCCAGAGTCTTCAGTTTTACCTGAAGCCAACATTGATATCAGATGAAGCCCTGACAGGAGAGGTGGCCTGTAGGTCACAGCAGGTTGTAGCAGATGCTGTCCATGGTCTCCCTCCATC